TGGCACCCTCAAATGGACCCGTGACACTCTGGTCTCTGCCTGCATGGCTGGCTTTTTTTTTTCCCGCTTCACAGGTTACATATACATTAAATGTATTGTTTGTATAAATCAAACATTACACAATAAAATGTGTTTTCAGAGGCTGAGATGGAGAAAGTGCAGAAAGCCAGTGAGGCAACTTTTTTGAGGCATATTCTATAACGGAACAGAAAATCCATGGCAGGGGGACGTATAGTCCGGGAGGGGTTTGTATGTGCCAAATTACATTATATTGTGCTGCAGGACATTTGTACGCCAATTATTTCCTTGCTGTTGTCATCCCCTTTTCTCGCAGGGCCTGTGTCTGATCGCGCACACAGGGGACACTAGGGACAATGCTGGGATGGGGGAGGGGGAGATGAAACTGTCAAATCCCTCAAAACTAATTTTTTCTCAATTTCAAAAAGCTCATTTCCACAAAAATAACTTGTGCTTGCAATAGAGGAAAAAAATTTAATTGAGTAGTTTCAAGTTTTGACGGTAAAAGGAATGAATAAATGGTGAGGAAAAAAAGAAGTCCTTTTGAGAATAAAAATCTACTGACTGTAGATTTTTCAGGTGGCCTGTGTGTTACAGGAAGGAAGATGAGGAATCAATTGCTGGTGAGTTCCATCGGCTCTGCTAGTGACAGCGCTGACGCAAAGACTCACATGTTCAATCCCATTCTCTCCATCTTTTTCCCCCTTAATCTGAATCTCTGAATTTTAACAATGGGTAGGACTGAGATTTCTGTTTCTCAAACTGCTCTGACTTAAACTCTGAAAACAAAAGCAAGGAACATTTGTACAAGCTAAATAGACGTCAGTTTAAGGACAAAATGATTGAATTACAATCCCTGGCCATGGATGTGAAATTTGATCTTTTTTTTTTTTTCTTTCACACACATGATATTTTCCTGACATCTGTGCAATACAAATATATCTAGAAAGTGTGAAATGGAAAATCTGCTCTACTAAATATATAAAAGGGACCCCGAATGAAGTCTCCATGATGGCGTTTGTCATCATGGGCACAGATGGCGTCCTCTCCCAGCCCCCACCCCCCACAACCCAGTACCAGCTTAAGTTGCATCCACTGAATTCTACCAAAAATATCGCATGTATACATGCCTGATAACACCAGAAAATCCTGTCTGTACACTACATCCTTATTTTTCAGTCCTCCATGTGCATCAGAAAAAGTATGGGTGCTGAATGAAGAATACGAACAGTGCACATCACTTGTTGCTATGGGAATCCAGATGTCCTGGGAGCTTAGTGGTCTTTGTGATTTTGCCAGTAAGTAATGTCATCCTGCACTTACCGTTTTCCCTACAGTGCCCACGTCACAAAATAGGACAACTACTTACCAGTCCTCCCCCTCCCCCACAACCACACACTATGGGATGGGATATATAAAATCGCCAATATGCTACTTTGTTTCCCAAAAGATTTAAATAGACTTTTGAACATCTATAAATTCATGGTATTTAGGTTCCACATGGTGGTCAGAAAGTCTGTGAGAAATATACATACACTATACTCCTGCCTCTGTGGGACAGGGGATGGAGGGTGAGGGAGTGACAGTGTACTCCTGGCATGTTTTACATCTGTGGGGGATATTACAGGAGGCTGTACGGAGCTAAAGAAGTGGGAGGAAAAAGAGCAAAATGAGGAGCCAGAGAGAAGTTGAAAGGGAAATTGCTGGATGAATCTTGAGGAACACTTTTGATGCAAGAGTTGTTCAGCTGTGAAATGTACTCAATGGTGAGAATAAAATGCTTTACTATAGGTCTTGGAACCCTGATTATTAAACCCTAAAATTCTAAACATTTTGTACATTTTGGAGATTTGCATACTTTCCTACCACTGCGCTCTTCACAGGGAATAAGAAATGCCGCAAACCTTTTCCTTTAATATAGTAAATTTAGTTTTACAAGTAAGAAAGGATTACTATAGAAATTTACAGAGAATAGCATTAACAGAGGGCTCAAAGTGGTTATTAGATAACCCACAGGATGACACACATAGCCTTAAGAATTTCTATTACATTCTGATACCAATATGATATAAAAAAAAAGAATTTCTATTACATAGATTGCAAAGTTAAATTATCACTTGTATTTTTTATTCTCCAATTTGTTCCACTGAATAAACCAACAAAAATAATCACAGAATCGTGGTGTTAGAAGTGACTTTGGGGATTACCAGGTTCAACTTCCTACTTTTAAAGAAGAAGAAACTAAACTTCAGAGAGGAAAAATGACTTGAAGAGAGCCCCATGGAACATGTCACATTGTTTTCTCTACAAGACCATGAACATCAAATATGCCCAGGGCTGCATTACAGAAAAGACATTTGGGTACTGAACTTCCTACTTTCCTAATGTAACCTGTCCTGTTTTTCAGGATGGAAAAGGAAGCAAGCAAATGGGAGGGAAGCAGGTGTCTCCATATATGTAAGTCACATCTGTTAGTCCAGAAATCTGCCTGTTGGGAGACTCAGTCAAGCACGGCTGGCCCGGGAAAGGTGGTCTAACTGCTCAGTCATTTCAGAAGCACAACTTATGATGGTTAAACGTGATTTGAACAAATAGGTGGGTTATTGGAAGCATTCCCTAGACATGTCCATCATCTTAACTAGCTCTGGGTGTTACAATCACGACCTGGAACGAAGGTGGGCAGAGGGTTTAAGCGCAGACTAGAGGACAGAGCACTTGGGCCAAACAAACTTCCTTCTAAGGCCACAGTAAGACAGAACAGAGCAGTTTTCAGATACATTTTGTCAAAATGGACAAGCCAGATCATTGAAGTGAAAAATATAACCAAAACCTTTCGCATTTGAACTTGCTCTCTATATGTTTTTTTGTTGTTTTTTTTTACTGAGGGTGGGTGGAGCCTCCGTCAGAGGCAGGGTGGTGGAAGGCCTGGATTTGAGTCCTGGCTCACCGGTTCCCTTAAGCATCTTACATAACCTCTCCGATTTCCCCCAGCTGACTCATGAAGCAAAGGATTTCCACTTGCCTCCCGCCTATACAATTAGAGGGCATGTTTATGCCCTGAAACCAATAAACATTCCTAAGAACATATCCTGTACCAGGCAAAGTGCTAAGTGCTGGAGAGATGGAGATGAATATAACAATGTCCTTGTCCTGAAGAAGCTCATCCCACATTTAACACAAGGAGGCTGTGGCTCATTTACAACTCAGGTAACTGCAATATGATAAATGTTACCTTAGCTGTATGAGCAAAAAGGCTATGGCGAAAAAAAGACAGGAAGTAGTTAATTATGCCCAGCAGGGACTGTTATTCCAGGATGTTATTTTGATTGTAACTTCAAAAAAAATAAGTGTACAACTTTGGAAAATTCTGTGGCTCAGTATGAATCAATGACCAGGTGCCTCAACTATACTTAAATTGTAAAATTGCTATAAGCACATGAAAACACTTTGCTTTCCTGTTTAGAACAATCATTGCCTCACTCATTTTTATAACAAGGAGCAGTGCTAGTAAGTTTTATGAGCAATACCAAATTATATCAGGGAAAGTAAGTCTAATGCTATTGCCAATTACTGCATAGCATGAAACAGCTATCCAGAGTCTTTCATTAGAAACAAACAAAAATCAATCACTGGAATTAAGCTAATTCTTGATTATCTGAAACATGGTTGGAATGAATAAGTAAATCCACAAATAAGGAAAAAACCCTGCTATCCAATGAAGTCAACATTTTTCTCTGCTCCCCAACCTCTAACCAAATGTTTTGCTATTGTGGAAAAAAAAAATGACCTGTTTGAGTTGCTGGCTAATTTTATTTATGGGAAAAATACAAATACTGGGGTTAAAACATAAAATAAACTGCAAGTTCTGTAATCCATCCTTGTTTTGTTTATCAGTTTGGGCTATAATTATTTGCCTTTCCTAATCTGAGTAACTTCTCCTACTCCTGTATCAGTTACGACAGAATGCTAGAACCACAGAAATCAGCTAGTCCAACTTACTTTACAGATAAGGAACAGGACTGAGGCTTGTCTTCCCATGATCACATCTGGCCTTTTAATATTTCCTTTATAGAGTCATATCTGACCCAAGCATCATAGAAGGTAAAGCTTAAAGTGATCTTTTAGAACATCCACCTTTAAAAGCCAGAAGTGTAAAAGGAATCAAGCCAAATGATGCCATATACACAAAAATAAGAGCAGCTGCAGTCCTCTGTGCTGATGCACTGATAGGCTGTTCAGCTCAGGATGTGGCCTCCCTACCAAGTCAATAATGTCACAATCCGAACAAACTTAGGCAATTGGCCTTCATGAAAAACCCCAGACAAAAAAAGAGAACTGTCATTCCGCAAAGCAGCCAGCTGCACTAGACTGGGATTCTAGTGTGGAATTAGTCAGGACTTGGCTTATTAAACAAAACACTCTGACCAATTTGCCTGTAGGTCTAGGAATTAAAGTGGTGCTTTGTTTTTCCAACACCACATTCCAGAGGAGGCAGCAAACAGAGGGAACAGGCAACCGGGAATTCTACCATCTCTACCAAACAGGCACACACATTCATACCAGGGTAGACATGTGGACTCTAATCCCTTCTTAGTGGAAAACACACATTTTCAAAATGAATCCCCAATCTAGAATGAATTACCGTAAAAGTCACAGCCGGAGCGAGTCCGCGGGCGAGGAACGCAGCTCTGGCCACCTGCTTTGGTACGCCTGGGACCACAACACTGCCGGGGTCTTTTTAAAGACTCTCCTTTTCAGATAGGGCATCTGCCCTTCTAAATCGCGTTTAAATCCCAGGAAAAGAAAGAAGCTTCCTCTCTTAATTTTTGAACTATGTTGCTCTTGCTGTATCCATTTCTGCTGAACACGGCATTGTTATCTTTTCAAAGAGAGGGGCCAAAAACACGGGAGAATTGCACCACTGCAGATCCCAAGAGAAGTAAGCAGAGAACTACAGCGACGTCAAACAGTATCTTCTGCAACTAGGAAAATCCCCACATGCTATCTGGTGTCAGCCCAATGCAGACGGAGGCGCGCTGTGCCCAGACCCACAGGAAGCCAGGCATCTCCGCAGCCTGTGTTCCTGCCAGCTCCCCCCACGCGCTCAGATTCGGCACGGAAGAAGTTATGGTGCCCAGCCGCTGTGTGCAAGACCGAGAGACCACGCAGCACACTCCGAAAATCGGCCGAGTGGCCCGGACGTCAAAGCAGCAGAACCATCCGAGTGCCCTGGAGCTGGGCATGGAGGGGCTACGTTGTTCGAGCGCTCGGATGTCGCTGCTTTGTCACGGCCCCGGGAACGTAGGGGTAGGAGGAAGCGCACCTCCAGCCAAAAATGGACCGGACGCGTTTTTCCCAGCGGCTCCCTCCCTGCCTGTCTGCAGGTCGCAATACGGTAGGCGACATGACTGGCTGCTCCCGCTAAAACTCAGGTGGCAGGCCCGGCGGAGCGGCGCAGCCGGCAGAGAGCCGGGAGGCGCTCGGGGAGCACCCACGCCGCGCATCCTCTCGCCTGCCACCACCCCGGGGAGCAAGGGCCAGACCTGGCCACGCGCCCCTTAAGCAAGCACGGGCGAGCTCGCGGGGAGGCTGTGGGCGCTCTCCGGGCTGACCACCGGCATTGCCCGCGCACAATTGTCCAAAAGCGAGCCCAAGGCGAAGTGCAAATCCAGCGCTTTGGTTCACAAGGGGTGGGTGTGGGCTGGGAAGGGGGATTACGTAGGTCTCTCCGCCCCCTCCCCTGACACCTCCTCGCCACTGGGAGGGCGCTAAGGGGCGGGGGAGGCGCTGCAAACCCGCTTGGGGTCTTCTTTGTTTCTCTCCGTGCCCCGCAGGAGGGCCGGGTGCGCCCAATGTACCCAAGCCGGGGTCGCCACTCGGGGATGCCGACCGGGCCAGGCGGCGGCGCGTCCTAGGCTGACAATTGAACCTCGCGGGAGAAGCGAGAGGGTGGGGAGGAGGGTGGATCCCGGCCCTGGGGAGGGAGGGCGCTGCCGGGACCTCGCGAGCGGCGGGGAATCCGCCCAGAGAAGGGCGGGGGAAGGGGCGGCAGGCAATGTCCCCGCACGGCGCCCGCTTACCTTGGCAGCCCCGGCCTGGGCACAGATCATGCTCCCGTCAGCGCGCAGGTTAGAGCTGGGGGGTGCACGTGCCCTGCATAGTGCACCGGGCGCTGGGGACTCGCTGGGGGAGACCCGGGAGACCGCCCGCTGTCGCGGCGCTCTGGCTGCCGGGCGCCCCAGAGAGCGGTGGCCACGGCCACGGCCACGGCGGAGCGGCGCGGCTCTGTGAGTGTGTGCGCCGGCAGCGGGCCGGTTGGGTCAGAGGCGCACCGGGTTCCGGCTCCAACAACGGCGCCTGATGCGCGGAAACGCAGCACACTTCATCGCTTTATCCTCCCGCCTGCATCCCCTCCCTCCCTGCCTGCTCCTCTGTGGGTACCAGACTCCAGAACCAACCACAGCCGGGCTCGCTCTCATTAGCGCTGCCCCGCCCTGCAGCCTCCGCGCACCCCCGCCCCCGCCGTAAATATATATTGATTCTTGTTGCTGCCGGCCCCATCCTTCCGACACCCAGCGCGCACGCCGGCACATCCAGCCCCAGCCCCAGCTCACTGGCCCTGTTGTGTGTAGGCAGTGTATTCAGAAAGAATGCGGTACAGACACCCTGGGCAGGTGCCCTGTGACAGGTGTTCTTGGCCTCCGCCTTACACACTTTCTTTGCCTATCTATACACAGTTAGGAGCACTCAGGGACAAATTTCAGCGCTCCCTCCTGTATTTACACAGCAGAAACAAACATCGTAATTGCAAATGCAAAGGATAAAAACCACCCCAGAATATCTATTGTCACGCAAACCTGTCTTCCAAACCGGGTTTTATATTAAACGGCGCACAGTGTCAGAATGCCAGAACTAGAAGGAAGCAAAGTCTAAAACCCTCCTTCTGCAGCCAACGGAGATGCAAAGAGAAGTGAAATGCTGGTCACCGTTGGCTGCTGGCTGCTCCGGATCTGTAAATCTGTGTGCATTTGGCTTGCATGTGTTCACACAAGATGCAGAGTTTGTGAGCCCACAGTCTCCATCGTCTGTGATTCTATGACCTAACAGCATTCTTCTCAGTGCTCATTTTTTCCCTCCCATTCTCCTGCCCAGCAACCCCTACACAAGCTATTTTTTACATCCTGAGGAGTTACCTTCTTTTCCATACCCCAAACCCAGACCTCTTCTAGAGTAAACAAAGGGGTCACCCTGACTCCAGAACTCTTTATTGGAGACCTGAGTACAGATCTTCCCAAACCAAGTTTCCTGCCACCTTCTACAGCATTGCCCAAGGGGTGGTTTCTCAGGGTCTCTCATTTCACTGACCTGCCTATCCGCATTGATTCCACTCTGGAAACTTGAACTTTCCAGAAGAGGAAACCCTGGACGATGTGAAGACAGCCTCACCAGCTGTGCTCCTTTCTGCAGGGAGGCACGACCCTTCCCTTTCCTAACTCCAGGTGCCCAGTTCTTTCCCCACAGCCCCCTCCCCACTTTTTCTTTTTTTTCTTTTTCTTTTTTTTTTTTTGCCTGACAGCAGTCATGTCTTCTGGTCAGATGAGTTCAAAGCTGACCACTTTTCAAATCTCAGCTCACGATCCACGCAGAAAGCTGGGCACACGTTTCTTCAGGAGATTTTACACTTGGACTAGCATCAACTCCTATAAGAAGAAAACCCTCCGAGAATAGACTTGGATAGGCTGCGGCAGTAAACAGCAACAGCAACCAACTGTGTGCTATTTCCAACCGGAGACTTGAAAGAAAACAAAAACTCTTGCATAAACCAGCATCCATGGTTTCTAAATTAGCATGGTATCGCTGAACCACAATAAAGGATAATTCTTTACCTCAACTAATTGCCAGGATGTTCACCTCATTATTTTCAGGGATGCAGCATCAACTGGGCTCTCTGTTCCATCTATCATGGAGATGACCTGACAAGTCAGCATCTCTCGTAAAGGTTATTGATGTTAACGATCCTGAGGTGTGCTTTATTTTCCCCCAAAGAGTTTCTTCTTTATACTGAAGGTAAAAGATATTGAAGTGCAGTACACAAAGTTTCCCCCTGGAACATGTTGAGCAGATAAACTCCTTGCAAAGCACCGTCCACATGCCAGGTGCAAGGGCAACATACAGACTCGTGTGTTGTCTTTTTATTCTCAACAATCTCACTGCGGTCTGGGTAGTATTATCCCATCTTACAAAAGAAAACAAAACAAACAAACAAAACCAGCACTGGGGTCTATAATGTGCCTAAGATCTCATTTTGAGTAGAAGACCTCGAATCTAGAATTCACTGATGTCCGCTGCCCTGACCTTAAAGACAAGAATATTTGATGGAGAAAAGAACAGACTTGGCATGACTTTTAAAGCCATCCATTTAAGTAGTCATATTTATTATGTTTCTAATACACTCAAAACACTGTTATAGAAACAATAATAATAAGTCACAGTCTCAATGCCCCCCCATCCTAATCTTATATAATGGCACGAGGTGATGAGGGCATTTTGAGAAGCATATACAAACACCTATATTACCATGATGCCCTTGCAACCTTGTCCCCCACCATCTATAACCTGGGGCCCCATAGGACCCAGGGAGGGGCTGGCATGCCTCCACATGCCTCAGACCACTTTCAGATAAAGACAAGTGGTCCCTACAGTGCTGAGAAAACCATGACTTGAGCTGATCTGATCAGGGGCTTCATATTCTGAAACAGACCTTCACTGTCACAGCAGAAGTGAATGCTTTATAACTAAGACAGCAAAAGGACCCAGCTGTGGAAGCTGTGGTCCTGGGGTAGGGTCTAACACAGTCTGTCTCCACTGGATCAAATTGTAGCTGGTAATACAAGATCGTCATTTGGACACGCTAGGTCCTAAGGCTCAGGATAACTCGGAGGCTAGTGTATCCAACTTGGAGCAGCTGAGCAAGTTACCTAGAGAAACCAGGCCTTCCTCTACCAGGGGGGAAAGAGAATTTTAGTTTTGAGGGGTGAATAAACCTACAGATGGCCAGGGAGTGGCAGTGGCTCTCTGGGAAGCTCTAAAAACCTTAGGGTGGTCAGGGTCAGGGGGTCAAGCAGAGGCTGGGTTGCGTGAAGGAGCATAGGACTTTCTTATATGAAGTCAGTCGTTCATTCAACAATTTTTCAAATATGCTAATTTCTGGGGATATAACCTTGGAGAAGACAGAGTCTCTGACTTCAAGGAGACTAGAGCTGAGGGTATTAAAACCTCTCATTAGCTGGGCGCGCGGTGGCTCGACGCCTCGTCAATCCTAGCATACTCGGGTAGGCCGAGAGCGGGCGCATTGCTCATAGGTCAGGAGTTCGAAACCCAGCCTCTGAGCCAACGAGGCGAACCCCCTCTCTACTCATAAATAGAAAGAAATTAATTGGCCCCAAACTAAATATATACCCTACGAAACAAATTTAGCCCGGGCTGGTGGGGCATGCCATGTAGTGTCCGCAGCTTAGCTCAGTGAGGCTGAGGCAGGAGGATCAGCTTGAGCCTAAGGAGTTTGAGGTTGCTGTGAGGCTAGGCTGATGCGACGGCACTCCACCTCCTAGCCTGGGGCCCCACAAAGCGAGACTCTGTCTCAAAAAAAATTAAAAAAATAAAAAAATAAAACCTCTCATTAAACAAGCAAGCACTGTTCACTGGGTAGGTGCAGTGATAAGGAAAATAGAGGTTCCCAGCATCATGCAGTGCAGAGGCCATAATCCAGGCCCAGAGGGGGGTAGTGGAGGGGGGGGGTGGGGCAACGGCAGACTTCTTGGTGCCAGAGTTGTGACATAAAGGATCAGTAGGAGGTGACAGGGATGCAGGAAGAACATCCAGATTAATGTAGCAAGGTCAGAAAGCAGGCAGAGAAGTCTGTAGCCTAGTCAAGAGCATTTCAATCTGCTTAAAATGTAGACAGTTGCATAGGTATGTGGTGGCATCTCATTGTGGTTTTAATTTGTGCTTTCCCGATGACTGATGATGGTATGCATCTACCTTTGTGCTTATTTTCCTTCTGAATATAATTTTTAGTGAAGTGGCTGCTCAAAACTTTTGCCCAGTTTTAAATGTGTTGTTTGCTTTTGTATTGTTCATGTTTGAGAGTTTTTTGTAGGTTCTGGACTCAACTTCTTTGCGAGACACTGATTTCTGAATATTTTCTCACAGTCTGTGGCTTCTTTTTTCATTCTCTTGGTAGTTTTCTTCACAGAGCAAACATTTTGAAGGTTGACGGAGTTCAGTTATCAATTATTGTTTTATGGGTCATGCTTTTGGTATTGTATATAAGAACCCTTCCGACTAACCAAGATTACAAATAGTTTTGCTTATGTTTTGTCTTACAAGTTTTATGGTTTTGCATTTTACACTAAGGCTTTTGGTATTATTTTTTGGATAAGAGGTATGGGTTGTGATTTTTTTTATTTGTTTGCTTGTTTTGCAGATAGGAAGACCAATTATTCCAGCACCATTCATTGAAAAGACTATACTTTCTTGATGGAATTGCTTTTGAAATTTTTCAAAAATCAGTCTCTTTCTGGATTCTCTATTTTATGTCACTGATCTGTATGTTTATCCTTTTGCCAATACTACACTATCTCAATTACACAGATTTATGCTGTTTTGCAATCGGGTAGTGTGAATCCTCCTGTTCTGTCCTTTTTCAAGATTATTTTGGCTATTTTCATTTCTTTGCCTTTTCATCTAAATTTAAAACTGTTAATATCTACAAAAAGATTTCTGCCAATAATTGTGATTGTGTTAAATTTACAGATCAATTTCAGAAGAATTGACTTTTTAACAATCTTCCAATTTCTTAACACCTTCCAATCCATAAACTTACTATATCTCTGAATTTATTTAGGTTTTCTTTGATTTATTTCATCAAGAGTTGAGGTTTTCAGCATATAGAGTTTGCACATATTATATTAGATATATACCTAAGAATTTGATTTTTTGGTACTACTGTAAAAGGTATTGACTTTAATTTTGAATTTCACTTTGTAGTAAATTATACCTGGGATTTGTTCTAGTCAGGTATGGACATACAGACATGCAGACATGGAAATGATTGCCATGAAGGGAGAATTTAATATTCACAGATCCCCAGAAACAGAAGGCCTGGCATACCCCACAGGACCACAGGGGGAGCCCCTGGGGCTATATAGGGGCAGAAGGGACCAGAGGAGAATATGGCTCAGAGCTTTTAGTTTGTTTCCTGTGGGAAGAATTGGTGAGGCAGGGTAAGCAAGTTTGAGCAAGTTTAGGATGTAATAGTTGAATACTTTCAGAGTCTCTAGTTGTCCTGTACTTGGCCCTAGGACGAACTGGGGCAAGGGAAATGCTGACTTGGCGTGTGAGAATTAGATGAAGGTGGTGGTTGGGAGTACGGGCTCAAGGTTGGCTGGTCTCCATATGAATGGTGAGCTCATAGGCAAGTTGTTTGCTATCTCTAGGAATTAGCAATCCCTGGGAGGCAGTTTCTTCCCAGCCAGCAAGGCCCCTAAGATGTCCACATATCATAAAATATGAAAAATAAGAAACATAATTAAAACTCATTCATTGCTAGAATAGAAATAACAAATGATTGTGTGTGTGTTTATCTTGTATCCTGTGACACTGCTAAACTCATTTATTAGTTCTAGCAGCTTTTGTGTAGATTTCTTAGAATTTTCAATGTAGACAATTATGTAGTCTAGGATTAGAGCAAGTTTTCTTTCTCGCTTTCCAATCTGTATGCTTTTTGTTTCTTTTTCTCAATTTCCCTGCGTATACTTTCTATTTCCTGCATATATTTTTATTTTATTTATTAATTAAATAAGTTACTGCTGAGCTTTTGATTTGTGATAGGCAGGATAAATATGGACCATACCAAACTTGTGGTCAAGTCAAACATATCAGTACAATATGGTGTAGGTGCCAAGATACAAGTGTATTGTCAGTAAGATAGGAGCGACCATATCCTAATAACTATGGCTGGGGGAGCTAGAAAAGCCTCCACTAATAGGGCTTTAAAAGAAGAAGAGAAGTTTGTTGAATGGCCAGAAGACATCCTAAGAAGAAGAAAAAAAGTATACATGAAAAGGTAAAAGACCGAAGGAATAGAATGGACTTAGGAAATAATGAAGAGTTCAATTTAATTGGAGCAAAGAGAGAGCGGCTCAGAGATAAGACTGAGAAGAAAGGTTTGGGACATATTGTGATGGGCCAAATATGCCCTGCTCCAGCTATTAGAATTAATTCTGCAAATAATGGAGAACCCTAAAGGTTTTTAAAGCCAGGAACTGAAACAAGATTTGTCATTTATAGAGAGAGCAAAGCAAAATCTACAGTGTGACTTTAAATTTGTGATAATTTTAGATTATGAAGCTGTGTTGATAACAAAGGTGTCAAGTTAGGATGGCAGCCAGATAATTTGCTCTCACCCACCTTTCTATCAAAATACTTAATAAAAAGCCTGGAGCAGTGGCAAGCACCTGTAATCCCAGCAACTTGGGAGGCTGAGGTGGAAGGATTACTTGAGCTCAGGAATTTGAGACCAGCCTGGGCAACATAGCAAGACCCTATATATAAAAAAAAAACTTATTAAAAAGCACAAGACAAAGAAAAGTGGCAGACAGTTAAAAATATTTATCACATGCCAGAATGATCCTTCACTAATCTAATCAAAGTATGGTTTAGGATTGAAACATAGGTGGACAGAAAAGAAAAAAAAGTAAATAGAAACAAATATCACTATATTCCCTTTCCTCAACAATTCCAAGCTTTCATTTAGGAAAAACAGTTAAGCATTGTGGTAAAGAGTATAGGTACAAGTCAAATGAGCTGGGTTTAAAACTTGGCTCTACCATTTACTTATTTGTGTTCTTAAACAATTTATTTAGATTCAATTTCCTCATTTTTAATTACTCCTTAATATTGTTTACCTTAAAAGTTATTGATGGAACTACATTGAGTGGCTGAGGCAATATAATAATAATACATTTTTAAAAATTTTTGAGATTTAAGTGAGATTTCAAATGTGAAGTTTATAGCATTGTGTTTAACATATGGTAGCATTCAACATTCCTTAGCTCATTCCACTAGTAATGTTCTTTGCAAATCCATTTGGAGATTTCAACAGGCTGTAATGACTATGACTAAGTTTAAAAGTGTTTTGAGAAAAGTTAGATACTGAAAATATGTAAAGAGGTTTTTACCAAGAAATTTTTTTTCTTTTTTTTGAGACAGAGTCTCACTCTGTTGCCCAAGCTAGAGTGAGTGCCGTGGCATTAGCCTAGCTCACAGCAACCTCAAACTCCTGGGCTCAAGCGATCCTTCTGCCTCAGCCTCCTGAGTAGCTGGGACTACAGGCATGCGCCACCATGCCTGGCTAACTTTTTCTGTTTATATTAGTTGGCCAATTAATTTCTTTCTATTTATAGTAGAGACAGGGTCTCACCCTTGCTCAGGCTGGTTTTGAACTCCTGACCTCGAGCAATCTGCCTGCCTCGGCCTCCCAGAGTGCTAGGATTACAGGCGTGAGCCACCGCGCCCGGCCAACCAAGAAATTTTTTAAAACCATTGACACAAAAGTAAAATGGGAAAAGAACCCTGAAAATTTGATGAATGATTTAAAATTCATAATAAACGCATGAAAAACTCTTAAATAGACCTATGAATCAATTAAGTGCAAATTAAATTGAGTGACCATTTTTACCAATTTAGTTGCCCTCAAAACTACATATTAGAAAAACAATACTAGTCAGGGCGAGGGGGATTGGATCTTGCATTTCTGCCGATAGGAAAGCAAATCATTTCAGTTTATCTGAAGCCCAATCTGTCACTTATTTCAAAGGTCTTTCTAAGACCTCTTGTGATTACATATACTGTATCAGTTGGTTATTGCTGCCTAACAAACCACCCCAAAACTTAGTTGATTAAAGTAACAACCATATATGAGTCTATAAATTTCCTGTAAATTGCTGATCTGGGCCAGACTAAACTGATCTCAGCTGGGCTCATTTGTGTGGGCAGTTGGCAGGTCTCCTGGGAGCTGGCTGATCTAAGATAACTTCATCTGGGACAACTTGGCTGTGTTCCCTGAGGTCACTCAACTTCTAGCAGGCTAGTCCAGACTTGTTCTCATGGCAGCGGCTGGGCTCAGAGGAAGCAGATGTTTGCAAGGCTTCTCGGTTCTGGTCTCAAAAGTGTCACTTCCACCATATTCTGTTGGCCAAAGCCCAACATGAGGCCATCCCAGACTCCAGGGACAGGGAAAGGGACTCTACTTGTTGGTGAAATAAACTGCAAGGTCACAATGTAAAAGGTATAAATATAGAGAGGGATGAAGAATTGGGGCCCCAAAGTGACAGTATTATCAGAAACAAAAGAGATAAGAAGACCACATTGGTCAAAATCTGGGCAGGATTCTAACAAGTGCATCCTTGATATGAAGGACAAAGAAGTGCATTCTTGGACTATACATCACATGCTCTAACCTCTGAAGTCTTAGCATAGATCATATGACACCAAATAAAGTAGGATAAAACTTTGAGCCCTCCTCCCACCTCATGTTTTGCAACCAACTCTGAGGCATGAAGCTAAACACATCAGGGGCTGTCCTTCCACTGTGTGGCATCTATCTTCTGAACTAGCTAAAGAAAGTCTTGCAACTGCCTCACTGTTTGTTTTTTTTTCTCTATGCATCCGCTCAGATCTGTATCTCACAAAATAGACATGACAGAGAACAGAAGGGCCAGGCAGAGATGTGCTGCTCTCTGGAATGCTTAGTCATCCATGATGAAAGCTATACAAACTACGGTGGAACCAGGATGAGCTAAGGAAGCAGAACACCGGAGCAGGAGCAAAGACGTAGATGGAGTACACTGTTCAAAAACCTGCAAACTGAGTCTCTAGTTCAGTTAAATAACCTAACCTGTCAAAGGATGCGTACACCCAACCACAATCCTGCAGACCCACGTTACCTGCAAGGCACTGAAAATTAAAGGAAACCACTCAAATCAGCAGTGAGGAGGCTAAGAATGCTTCTCTCACCTAACATCCCCTGAGCCCAGATAACTCCCTGGCCATTTGAGAATCTGTAAAACAAACAACGCAAAAACAAAAATGGGAGTGCTGAAGGTATGCTTTAATTAAAGAGAGAACATTGCTCTGAGAAATTAAAGAAAAGATCCTATCTATTAAATGACTTTCTGCAAAAATTTTTTTTTTCATTTAGAAGGTTTTTCCTAGGTAACTTTATAAAATTGACAAGGGAAATATAAAGAGATTTAAAAAAAAAAACAACAGTGAAGGTAAAGATACAGAAAGGAGAGAGAGAAACAACAAAAATGCAAGAAAACTCCAAATACAAATACAAATTGAAAATCAATATTGGAGATTGAAAGGGGAGAAAAGACACTGCAGAAAATAAAGGATTGATATAAAGGGTAACCCTGAGAAAACTACCAAACTCTAGAGGAAAGTACAACATGAGAATGAATAAGAATAAATAGACAAACTAAGTAAGTGAGCAGATAAAGGTAGCCGCAAACATTATAAACTGTGTTTTCCTTATTGAGAAAGGAAGGGAAGGGAGGAAAACTTGAATCAAAATGATAAATAAAACAAAAATCAAAAACTTTATAGATGCAAACTTTCCTGAGATAATATAATCCTTGGCTCTACAAATCTAGAAGATTCTTAGTGTTAAAAAAAAAAGAATAAAAATCTTAATCCTAAATATATTATAAATTTAAATTATCAATACTGAAAAAAAATTACACAAGTGACAGGCTAAAAATATAGGTAAAAACAAACAAAAGACTGGCTGGACTCAGATTTCTATTCTGCAACATCAAATGCTAAAATACACTGAAACAGCATTTGGGAGTACAAAATATTTTGTAAATAAAAATTCTATACCATACCAAGTTATTCACATGTAAAAGCAACAAAAAGGTATCTCAAGATATAGAGGAATTCAGAAACATACCACTCTTCCACCTTTCTAAAAATCTCTTCTAAAACATACATCAAGTCAGCAAGATAGAGATAAAATTGAATAAATATAGAACTACAACTGAGCATTGAAACCAATTAAATGTGTATAGTTCATCATGACTTTGGTAATAGGGTCACAAAATCAAACACAAAGATTTAAAAAATAAAAATAAGATTTTAAAAATCTCTTATTGAAATACAAGATATGTATGGGAAATTTTTGTTAAAATAATACTGTTAATTGTGTGTTGATAAACTGGTTTGATAAGGACAAGAAAATTGAAGACTGTGTAGGAGGTAATGCTATAATACTGATTTTGTTTTGATTTTGTAATTAAAAATAAGCTACTAGTCATTAAAATTTTTGGAGAAATTGGGAGGTATTTATGTAACAATTAAATATTACTTATGCGCATGACCAGCAGTTTATTCTTAGACAAACAATGGTAATAAGATACGTTAAAAGTACTTCTCTGGGACTGCAAACTAGCTACAACTTCTGGGAAAGTAATATGGAGATACCGCAAAGAGCTACAAGTAGAACTCCATTTCATCCAGCATCCCATTCACTGGCATCTACCCAAAATAACAAAACATTCTATAAACGAGCATCGGCACAGAATGTTTCTATAAGCAGCAACTTAATTTTTCCAAATTTGCAAAGAGTGGATGACACCAAGTGGCCCATCAATTCATGGAGAGGAAAGGCCGTGCGGTGGCTCATGCCTGTGATCCTAAGCGCTGTGGGAGCCGAAGGTGGACAGAGTCACTAAGTCAGAGCACCATCCTCTCAAATAAAAAAAAAAATAGAAAAAATTAATCGGCCAACTAAAATATATCAGACAAAATTAGCCCGGCATGGTGGCACAGCCTGTAGTTCGCCAGCTTACTCGGGGCTGAGGCAGAGGATTGCTTGGCCAAGAGTTTGAGGTTGTGTGAGCTAGGCTGACGCACACACTCCTAGTGTCCAACGAGTGATAGACTGTTCAAAAATATACAGAGTGATTAATAAATGTGGCATATATCCATACATATATATCACTCATAGAGTTTAACTCAGATCCAAAAAAATGTGATATAGCCCTCTTGTATTATACTACGTACAGAGCTGGAACCCATTCTACTAAGAGAAGTATCTCAAGAACGGGAAAACCAAGCACCACATGTATTCACCATCAAATAGGTATTAACTGATCAATACTTCAGTGCACATAGAGTAATAACATTCATTGGGTGTTAGGCAGGTGGGAGGGGGGAGGAGGGATGGGTAAATTCATACCTAATGAGTGTGATGTGCACTGTCTGGGGGCTGAACACGCCTAAAGCTCTGACTTGGGTGGGGCAAAGGCAATACATGTAACCTAAACATTTGTACCCCCGTAATATACTGAAATAAAAAAAAGTATGTCTGTACAAGAATAGCTATTGCTTGTAATGTCAAATCAAAAGCAACCAACCAGGCAAACAAACAAACACTGGAAAGAATGTAA